CTGTTGTTTTGGCTTTTTTTTTTTTTTTTTTTTTGGCCAGCTGACTCTTTGTTATGTAATGTTAAAAAATCAGCCCTAGTTTGTTTTTCTTGGCTGGAGCACTCTAGTCATAAGGCTGGTTTATGTCTTTTATAAAAGAAAAAGAACGAAAAGGCCTTGGCAGCTGTTGCAGAAATCTGAAACATATTAGACAAAATAAAGGTTGAGGAAAATGTGCCTTAACAGTAACTCTCTTTATAAGGCAGTTTTATAGCTAAGCAACAAAGCTATGAGGAGGAGACAGAAAATCTGTTTCATAAGCTATCACAAAGCCGCATAATGTTGCCAAAGTCAAGCTTAGCAGGGCCCTTTCCCTGCACTGGAATTTTTGCACTTTACCTAAGGCTGTGTCTACACTAAATGGAAGATCACTGCTGCAGCGATTGATATTCCAGAGTTTGATTTAGTCATTGTAATAAGACTAGCTAAATGGAACTCAAAGGGTGCTCCCGCTTGCTGGTACTTCTGCTTGCAGGAGGAGTAAGGGAAGTAGTATCCTGGGAGGGTATCCTGCTGTAGGGATGGCGGGGAAACTCAAATCAAGTTATGTCGGATGCATATCTTCTTTCCGTGTACCCTATGGCTATGTCTACACTGCACATTGTTGCGCAAGAAGATATGCAAATGACACGCAGCAATGAATATTGCCATGCCTTATTTGCATTCCTAATGAGCTGCCATTTTTGCGGAAGTGGCTTTTGTGCAAGGAGCTGTCTATACAGCTCCTCCTCGCACAAAAAAACCCCTCTTGCGCAGGAGCCATTCTTCCTGAAAATAAGCGGCAGAACGGCTCTTGCGCAAGGGGAGGGGAGCGGGGATTGCGCAAGAAGGAGCAGTGTAGACAGCTCCTTCTTGTTCAAAAGCCCCTTGTGCAAAAATGGCACTGTGCCTCATTTGCATATCTTCTTGCGCAACAAATGCGCAGTGTAGACGTAGCCTATGAGTGTAGACCTGGCCTCAGAGGGTGTGAAGTGCTGGAGTACTATATTTGCTTACTCTTTGTTGCAATTGTCTTTGCTTAAAAAAAAAAAGTCTGATTTTGTGCATGTGAAAGGAAGCAATCGATAACAGCTAGAGTGAGACAGTACAGCCACATCTTTCCCTTTGACAATCAAACCAGTTCTCATGGGCAGCACTCTGTGCTGTGCCAGTCCTACTGTGACATTCCCACAGCTCTCTCTTTTCACCACCCCTCCCATGCTATTCTGCATCTGCACGCTGCAGCCAGAAGCCTCGTTCTCCTTCTTAGTAGCAACCTCCTCTCTTCTAGTCCTTCACTGCGTGCTCTGCCTTCAGGTACACAGACAGATTTCAGGTATTAAGCATCTGATCTTGTGAGTGAACAGTAACTTCCCCACTAGACACGGTAAGGACAGTTAACTTCTGCCTTCTTTACCAACTACTACTAGCAAGCTCAGAATAGCACTGTTTGTCCCATGTCAGGTATTCAGAGAGTCCGATGGTTCTTGCTAAAATCCCTGACAATGATTCAGAAATATTGCCAGAGGGAGTGGGGGAGAAATCAATATAATTCAGTAGTTTCATGAAAGTCATCAAGTGCGTAGGACTCCCTTGTTCTCACAATAATGGATCCCCCCCATTTTGGCAACTGTGCACTCTGTTTTGCTGTCAGATGGCGAAGGCATTCCAGTTTTGGAATAGTGTAGCTGACATTAGTTCAGGACAAGCAGAGGTTTCCAGGAGTTGGGGTCACTGTCAGAGAGGAGAAAATTCTCTGTCTGGAATAATACAAGTTCTACCCCACTGTCAGCAAAAGAGTCCTAACGACAACAGCCTCTGGCATAGTAATACGTGATTTTGACTGGGATTTAGAGCAGTCATCTTGAAGTAGACTGTAGCAGTGTCACTGATGTTAGTTAAAAGTCTGCCTAGACATGGGAAATGCAAACCTAGACAAGGCAAGAGAGCTGAGTGGGGAAAGATGCCCCACTCATTTTTCGCTCCTTGTCTGGATTTGCATTTCCCACGTTCACATGCTGTTGCAAAAAGTCACTCAGCTGTACTCCAAAACCGTTTACATTAGGGAAACCAAACTGTAGGAGCTTTTCCTGCTCTGTTTGCATTTGCTTGTGCTGATTTATGGGGGATGGGGTCTTTGCAGCAGATATACATCACACTGACTAATACATATGTATCTATGCCAGGATTGCAAGAGGACAATTGTCTTTGCAGAAGCTGATCCCAAATATTTAGTTAGGAAACCATGTGCCCAACAAAACCCAGTGAGATTTTAATTTCAACAAGAGATGGCATGAGTTGGCACACATGTGGTTCTACTGACACTTTAGGGGAGGTACATTGTACCATATGGTTTAACCTGACCTTGGACAGGAAGGAACCCATAGCAATCAAACTGTTCCACTTAACTGGAAGGCCCTGCAGACATAAATTTCAATAAACAATCTGAGCATCGCCTTTTAAACCCTACTGTCCTTGTGCACCACTATGAGTAGAGTGCTCATTAGAAAGGTATTCAGCTGTATGCTTTTGGGGGGAGCACAAGCTGATTTAGGCCATGCTCTCACCCTAGTGATGTCCTACTGTGCCGCTGAAAGGAAAAGCTAACTAGACATCTGACTTTGCACAGTTGCCTGTAAACAGCATTCATGATAAAACTAACATGTTGGTATTTGCTGGCCACCTTTCAGTCTTTTCCCTCCCTCCCCCGCCCTCCCCCCTTAACTTTTGTAAAGGAAAAAAGAAAATGCACCTTGCTTTAAATAAAGAGAAATGCTTGTTTGCAACCATGGAAGCCTGTGCTGAATTGTCTGGCTAACTAGGCTGAGAGTGGCATTGCTCACGTTTAGCAATTAACAGTCTAGCTTCGTATTTTGTTTTTGGCCCCCTAAAGGGACAGCTCCCATGCTTCTGGGATGCCCCACAATTCATCATGCAACGTTCGAGCTAGACTCCCAAAGGTCCTGGATGGAGAGCATACGGCTAGCCCATAGATGCAGGACAGTGGAAAGCTTTTTTAGGCACCAAGGCTTGTAGTTTTGAAAAACTGTGTAATTATTTTATACCTTTGGAACTATTCAGAACAAACAACTTCAGGGACCAGAAAAGAAAGTAGATCAGATTTTAGTATTCTGTTTGCTCAATCCCACTGTAGCCTGGTTAAATGGGAGCAATGGCCATACACTGCTTTAAGAAAATAGCTTGTTTCATTAGCTTGCTGCTCACCTTTGACGTGAGGTAAGAGGGTGAAACAGTGGTAGTCAGATACTAGCTCTTTCTTCTAACTGACCCTCAGTTAAAGTTCACAGGGGAAAATAATCCAGTTACAGGCACCACCATACTAAATTAATCATCAAACAAGAGGAACCGGATGATTTGTGTATGCTTTTCTGTGGTAGAGTTCCATCTAACCCCCAAGAATGGGGTTTGCTAATGGGAGTGCTGACACAACCGGAACTTGTGCAGCAGTAGCAGGCACTGCCATGCAATGCCATTAATACTTTACCCCCTGCCACTAGATTTCCTAAAATACACAGCTGTAGCGACAGGAGGACGGTGAGGGTAGCAGTTGAGAGAGGCTAGCTTATGGCTGACTTTCTTCTACTAGTCTAATGGTACTTGCAGAGTATTTTATATATCCAGAAATGCTGCTTGCGATTTATTTATTTTTGAGGAAAAGGGTCCTTTAGAGAAAACTTCCCTCTCACATAATTTCTCACAGGTTTGCACTCCCTCCCCAACGTCTCCATGTTACAGTGACTCTCCCTTCAGTTGAAAGGGATTGGCTGGGGCCTATCAGTACTGCTCCTAGAACAGTGGTAGGCAACCTGTGACCCAAGGGCCACAAGTGGCTCATTGGGGTTCTATGTGTGGCCCTCGAGACATTTTGTTTACCATTGTCCATGTGCAGGATTGCCAGAATCTGCTGGTTTTCAGCTGTTTAGTTCCTTTCCTATCGGTATTACAGAAGTGACAAGCACTTAAAGCAAGGGCACATGAAGTGAGAGGTGCATTCATTGCATATAATTGCACTTCCTCTGTGTCCAATCAGAGTGCTGCTACAGTTCAGTTGGCACACCCCATAAATTTTAGGTATGCAAGTGCAGTTAGCAAAGCTACCCTGTTCCAGGAGACCATCTTGGTTACAACACTCTTGCAGCCCACGGAGAATAAGGAGGGTCACTCATGCAGCCCATTCACTAGTCTAGGGGTACGTCTAGACTACATGCCTCTGGCGACAGAGGCATGTAGATTAGGGTACCGGACATAGTAAAATGAAGTGGTGATTTAAATAATCGCCGCTTCATTTACATTTACATGGCTGCCGCGCTGAGCCGACAAACAGCTGATCAGCTGTTTGTCGGCTCAGCGCGATAGTCTGGACGCTCCCCTGCCGACATCAAAGGTATTTATCGACCACCTAGGTGGTTCACTTCTTGTGTGTAAGGGAATCCTTGGTCAAGAAATCAACAGGGACTGGAAATGCTGCAAAAAGCAGCATGCTTAGCCCCTGGAGAAATACTTCACCTCACACTTCAATGACTCCTCCAGCTGATTCTAGGTCAGTGAGGGACAACCTAGGGTATGTCTAGACTACATGCCTCTGTCGCCAGAGGCATGTAGTCTAGACATACCCTAGGTTGTCCCTCACTGACCTAGAATCAGCTGGAGGAGTCATTGAAGTGTGAGGTGAAGTATTTCTCCAGGGGCTAAGCATGCTGCTTTTTGCAGCATTTCCAGTCCCTGTTGATTTCTTGACCAAGGATTCCCTTACACACAAGAAGTGAACCTAAGCCTCATCTGTAGTGCAGTATCATTTGTTACCTGTTAAGAACCTATGATGTGCTTGGTACTATCCAAAAGCACACAGTCCATTGTTAGAGTTGATACCATCCAAGACATGACACCCATTGCTATGGTATCTAAGTGCCCTCTATCTTTAATGTATTCTCATTGCACTCCTGTGATGTTTAGATGTTATCCTCATTTTAGAAATGAGGAAGGGAGGCAGAGGGAGATTATGTACCTTATGCAAAGTCACAAGAAATCTGTGGAGGAGCAGTCAATTAAACCCCAGTCTCCTAATTGCCTAGGTTAGTGCCCTAACTTCTGGACCATCTACAGCATACATCAGGAAGTCTAATTATTTCCCTTGGAGACAAACAAAATTGCTAAGATAACACCATGTGAATGAGGCAAGGTGTGCTAGGGTCAACTATTTAATGTGAGGCTTATGCTCAGTTAAGTATACGCTTGCATATTTCAAGTATGATTCTTACATTTCTGCTGGTATGGAATGATTAACTTTAAAACAAAATCCTTTCCTCACATAGTTGTCAGGCATAATTAGAAGTAAAACTGGAGAATAGCAGCTCTTGGAATGCTTTATGCAGTTTTGCTGTTATATATTAACAGTACTGCTGGATCACCACAGTAATCAGTGAAATATACATATGGAGAGGAAAGACGGTGACAGGTTTGTCACCCAGTGTGCTGGTCGTGCCACTAAGCCAGTCAGTTTACCCTCGGGGGCACCCCACCACCCTGTCTGGCTGGGCCAGAAGCTCTGATCTCCCCTAGTCAAGGCATAGAATTGGGGTAATAGCCTCCACAGCAGAGCAACACACACTGAACCAGCTCAGCTGTGGGAGGATGCAACTATAAGGCTGCACTCAGGAACACAGCTCCAAAGTGGAACAAAACCCCAAATAAATCTGGCTTACTCCATATAAAAGTTTTATACACAGAGAGCTCATAAAGTCAGCTGCCTTTATCAATGAAAGAGAAATGCAGTGGTTTTGCTCTCCTTCCCTCCCCCAGTTACAATTATTTACATTGGGCTTGATAACAGACAAAAGAGTCTTTATCAAGTATAAACTGGAGGATTTAAATTATTTCAAGTGAAAACAGAGAGATCAAATTTACTAAGCCAAAATAAAACAGCCAGCTAATCCTAATACACTAGGACATTTATTGCATGCAAATTCTTACCTTAACAGTTGCTATAATCATCTTTTTCACAAGCTAGGCAACCTCCTACCTTGGGCCCGATCCTTCCTCCTGGTCAGTCTCCTGGGCTATGTCTAGACTACATTCCTCTGTCAAAAGAGGAATGTAAATGAGGCAAATCAAAAGTGCAAATGAAGCACGGATTTAAATATCCTGTGCTTCATTTGCATATTCGCATCCAAGCGCTTTTTTGAAAAGGGTTTTTCGAAAGTTAAAGCGCAGTCTTGATGGGGTTCTTTTTTTTAAAAAAAAAAAAAAAACCCAACCTTTTTTCAAAAGAACCAGAACCCCATCTAGACTGTGGTTTCACTTTCAAAAAAACCCTTTTTTGAAAAAGCGCTCGGATGTGAATATGCAAATGAAGCACGGGCTATTTAAATCTGCGCTTCATTTGCACTTTCAATTTGCTTCATTTGCATTCCTCTGTCAAAAGAGGAAAGTGGTTTAGACACGCCCCTGGAGTCTGGCCACTGCCCCCTGGTTTCTTTTCCCCACCTTTATATCCCTTTCACTCAAGTCAAGAATTCTTTGTGTTATGTTCAAATTTTTCTCTTATTGAGTGGAAAAGTACCAGATCCAAAATGGGTTCCAGCCTCATGTGGCCTCACCACATGTCTTTGTATGACCAACAACAATTTGAGCTTACAGGAAATGCAAACCCATTTACAGATCATTGTCTTGAACACCAGAGCATTATGTCTCTGGAGTAATAGTAATGGCTCTCCTTTGCACATTTAGAATTATAAACAGATCCACACTTCATATTTCTAACTTCACCTACAAGAATGACACATGCACAGAAATAAAATATACACATTCAGCAGAGTATAATTTTAAAAATGATATATTACATGATGAATTTTGCCTACAGCATCTTTGAGTTATGCATATTCATAAGCCAATTTTCATAAAGTATGGGGGGGGCATGATAAAAAGAAACAGAAAATTCACTGGATAACCCAGGAGATAGTTTTATCTTAAAGCATAGTAAGATTTTTGTTTAATGTGTTTATAAATGAGAGCTGGCAGCAGTGGTCTAGCCTAGGTCAAAGTCTATTCAAGAACAGGAATTTTTCCATTGATTTCAGTGGGCTTTTGTTTAGGCCCAAAATGAAAGTGGTGGCCTCGGTGAGTTTTAAGAAAGAACTTAGTTAAGGAGAAATGTGAGTGAACAATTAATTTAGACGTGTGCCAAAATCATAGAGGAGTTGTAGGAACAGGGTATATATATACAGCATGTTAGAAGGTACCCAGAACACTTCCTAGTTGACACAGTTACAAAAATGCATAGCTTTGGGGTTTGTTTTGCTTAGGTATTTCCAATTATAAAAGGAAGGGGGGAGAAATGTCAAGCTAGCAAAACTGGTGTCTTAATGATGATGCAATAGAAAGATGGGGGTAAGGAAAGGATAGTGGCAGACCTAGAAGAGACAGTGAGGTTAAATGCATTGAGCACCTACTTGTGAACCTAAGTTCCAATGAGTATTTGATATCAATTAAGTTTTATAGACTTGGACAAGTAGGGAAAAACGTCATGACACCTGCGATTTACCTAATTCTCCAGTGTTTCTGTCTAAATTTTGGCCACCTGTACAAGTGGCCAAAAAATCTGAAAAATGTCATGAATAATTTTTGTTGTTGACATTTTCAGGAAAATGGTCATTGAAATGACAAAAAAGACCAGCTTTAATTTTCATTCTAAGGGGTTATTTAATCCACATGACACACTTCAGCATGATAGGTAGTTTAGTTTTAAGAGTGCTGTTGATCCACACTGGGCACGGTCAAAGAATTTCTGCCCAATTTCAAATCCATTTGAACATAATGGGGTTTCCACTTACAAGAGAATGTGGGGGTAAGGTTCAGAGTAGATGGTAGAGAAATTCTACAGAAATAATACTCTGGTGTTAATATCATCAGTATGGTACCCATTTGTACTAGTTTGTGGGGAGGGCTGGTTTCTTAAGCTTTGCTTCAGCTAGAGAAATATTAAGACCCAACTGAAGTCAGGGGGTATGTCTACACTACCCCCCTAGTTCAAACTAGGGGGGTAGTGTAGACATACCCAGAGAGAGTTGGAATGCTTAACAGCCAAAAATCAGGGTTTGAGGCAAGTTTCTCAAATTGGGTATCTAAAATGGAAACCTCCTAGATAATAGAGACTAGAAAATGTGGGCCTTATATATTTCAAAATATAATCTCCCTAAATGAGATTCACAGGCACATTTTGTAGCTTCCCCCGGGAATAGTTTAGGATGTCTGTAAACCTTGGAAGTCCATGAGATGTGGCCACTCCTGGTCAGAAATGAGGTGAAGTTGTTATAGATGAAGATGCTGATGTATTTGCAGACATGTGGGGGGAGGATTGTAAATCACACACCTACAGTATGCCAGAGTCCAGCTAATACCATCAGTTTCTCACATTCATGAGCACTACAGTTTGATACCCAGAACCACAACTTATAATACCATTAAGTAACCCAAAGGAAATTCCAGCAGCGTGCTGAAAAACTATCCTCCTTACAGTCTAACACATCTTTCATTATTCCTTTAGATGTACAGGGGCTTTGACAAGATGCCACAAGTTCAATATATCTACACAGAAGCCTCTGAGAGTCTTTGTGGGGTCAAGCTAGAGGTCAACAAGTACCAGTATCTGATTACAGGTAAGGGACCAGTGGGATTTATTATCAGGATCTCTTTACTGTCTGTCTGTCTGTCCATATGTAACCTACATATCTACTGGGTGTGGTTCACTGTCCCATGTAGCAGCATTTAGACCACTTACAGAGAAAAAGAATAAGGGTACGTCTACACTACAGCGCTAGTTCGAACTAACTTAGTTCGAATTAGTTAATTCGAACTAAGCTAATTCGAACTAACGCGTCTAGAACTAAAAACTAGTTCGAATTAGCGTTTTGCTAATTCGAACTAGCAAGTCCACATTGAGTGGACTCTGAACAGGGCTTAAGGATGGCCGGAAGCAGTGCCGGCAGGGCATCAGAGGAGGACTTAGAGCATGGAGATGCTGTCTCAGGCTAGCCGAGGGCTGCGCTTAAAGGGTCCCGACCCCCACCCCAGACAGACAGTTCTCAGGGGTGCCCCATTTGCAAAGCAGTCCTGGCTTGGATTGCCCGGCCTACCCACACTGGGCACATCACACCACTCGGCCATCAGCCCGGCTGCACTTGCCGCAGGCTGCCATCTGGGGAGAGGGAGTAATTGGGGGGCTGCAGGAGAGCTTCCACCCCCAGAAGCCCGCAGAGCCAGCCCAGTCCTCCCCATCGGGGGCTCATACCCCATTCCTCCCTCACCTCCTTCCACTTACCCTTCCCTAGCCCCCCTTCTTATTGATGTACAAAATAAAGATAACATTTCTCCCAACATTGACTCTGTCTTTATTGAACAAAACTGGGGGAGACTGGGAAAAGGAGGTGGGAGAAGGGAAGAGAAAGGCTGGGAGAGGGGAGGGCAACTAACATGATCAGGGGTTGGGAACAGGCCCCAGATGAAGAGAGGCTACAGAGACTGGGACTGTTCAGCTTAGAAAAGAGGAGACGGAGGGGGGACAGGATAGAGGTCTCTAAAAGCAGGGGTTGGGTGGAGAGGGTGCATTCAGAAAAGTTCTTCCTGAGTTCCCATAAAGAAGGACTAGAGGACACCAAAGGAAAGGAATGGGTAGCAGGCTTCAAACTAGTAAGAGAAAGTTGTTCTTCTTCACAAAGCAAAGAGTCAACCTGTGGAACTCCTTGCTGCAGGAGGCTGTGAAGGCTACAACTAGAACAGAGTTGAAAGGGAAGTGAGATAAAGTGATGGAGG